ATAATTCGTTATAGCATTAACGAAGATTCTTATAACGAAGTCCTGATCGGCTGGATCAGCAACTTCGTTATATCGAGGTGTAACTGTATATTGAAAATTACGATAGTTAGTATGTGATTTGAGAATGACTTAGGTGATAGCTTTTACTGTATTGCTGATCAAGATTAGGTAGCATCTATTAGTATCTAAGGTAAGTTGGTAAGTTTTAGAGAAAACTAGAATTTCTTTCTAATGTCTTCATTTGACATAATACAAGGATTAATTTGAACAAGATCTTTTAGAATGAAATAGCTATTTAGTTTATTAAGAGTAGCCATGTCTGTTTTCTTTTCGAATGTAATAATCGCTTGTTATTATAGAATTTTGGTAGACATAATACATTTAGTGATTTTTCCAAAAAAGGAAAATGTAGATCTCAAGTTTGATTCTATAGTAGAAATCAGAATCTCTGTTACTCTAATTGACAATTTAAGAATATATTTTACAGCTGGTTTAGTGATCAGAAGTAAAAATGTATTATTATCTAAATAAGGAATCTTAAGAGTAATTACGTTGTTGACTTCATTACATGAGGTAAAACTAATTTAGATAATGTTTTTGTTAAAGTCATCAAGGTGAGTATGTATTAAAGTACCAATGAAAAATACATAGTGTGATGTGAAAATATCATATATCTCATTTTATTTTTCTTAATTTGTTTTTGTTAAATAAAATCGTTCTATAATACAGTAAGTAAAGTAAATTAGAGCTTTCATTTTCTTATTTAAGGTAAATATCACTTACTTTATTTTTATTATTATTGAGACCATTTTAGTATCATTAAAAAACTGATTGATATCTAAAGAAGCTTTAGAAGAAAACAAAGAAGTCTCAGGTACTTTTTCTTTATCATTAAGTGAAAAAGCAGTTGACTCAATTTTCATGTTAGCAAATGCATTTTTTGTTGGAATATTCTTTAAAGATGAAGATTTAACTGTTAGAAAGATTCTAAGAATTATTTTTTAGTTGATCATTATTATTGATTGTTATTTGGAAAAGAAGAGTAAGTCTTATTAGATTTATTGTTATTATTATTTCTTTTTTTTTTGGTCATATTGGAAATAAGAATCAGTAAAAGAGTTTATTAAAATATTTTTTATCAAAATATTTTAAGTTTTTTAAAATATTTTAAAAATAATTTTATACTTACAGTTTAAAGGATATTTTACAAATAATCAACAATTTTTAATATTTTAATAATAAAAAAAATATAAAAAAAAATATAAAATAAATAATAAAAAAGATAGATAATTTAAAACTAAAAATTATAATTTCATTAAATAATAATCACATAAAAGACAAAAAATATATGTAATTAAAAAAATCATAATGTATAAAAATATAAAATTCTTTACTTTTATTTAAATAATAAAATTAATATAATTAATTATTATTTTTTTTTTTTATAAATAATATTAATATATAAATTTGTATTTAATAGATATATTTTTTAATTTTAAATATTTTACAAAATTTATAATATATAAATAAGAATTTAAAATCTAATCAAAATTATCTAAATTTATTCAAAAAATTGTTTAATTACCTAATAATACTATAAATAATAATATTTAAATAATAATAATTTTAATACTAAAAAATTTTATTTATAAGATATTATATATTTATATTATTATTTAATTAATCTTCTCATATTTTTATGAGTTTATATATAAACTTCTAACTTTATATAAATAATATTTTTATAAAAAAAATTAGATTTAATTAGTTTAATAAACATTCATTTTATTATAAGATGATAAAATCAATGTTGATTTTTTTTATATTATATAATATTTAATTTTAATTGATTTAAAGTAATAAAAAAAAAATAGATAATATTTTAAAACTAATGTATTAATACACAATTTTTTTTGCATCTATATATCATTCATTTTTTTTTATATTTGGGTAAAAAAAAAGATTTAGAGATTTCTGCTCTAAAGAAAATTAAATGAGAGCTGAAATTTTAAAGCTTAAGATATATATTTTAAAATTAAAGTTTATTTAATAACTTATAATTTATTAATTTTAAGCATTATTAAAGTCTACCAATATTTTTTTCTATTATTACTATTTGTTTCTTTATTTTTATTATCTAATATTTTATTATTTAATAAATATTATTATCTTTTTATATAGAATTTTATATTAAAGACAACATAGTTATTATTTTATTCTGAAAACATTTGTAATGAAAAGTATGATTACATAAATATTATACCTCCTTTTTTATTATCTAAATATTAAATTTTGATACTGTAATCATATTTTACTTTTTGATTTAATATTACAAAAATCTTTTAATTTTCAAGAATTGAACTTTTATAGCTTTTTTTTTTTATTTGAATAAATTATATATTTGCCAAATCTTTAAACTATTATTTGTATTTATTTTATAGTTATTATAAAAAAATATAGGAAATATTTGATATTTTAATTAAATTTTTAAATTATTTCAAAAATGATCATCACAATGTCCATTTGATCTAATTTATTTACCCTAAACTTTCCGAATTTTTCGGAAATTATAATTTTTTAATTGCGAATAACCTTTAAAAAAATCTGATAGTTTGTCTCTTGCAACTTTGCACATTTACCTCTCGAGCCTTCTGGAAATAATGTCTGTAACGACTATTAACGATCCATATCTGCTTACTCTGGCCACCTTCTTAAAACAAACGCTTGATCCTAATACAAGCCAGCAAGGTAAAGATTTTTTTTTTTTCTTATTGTGGTGTAACTGAAAAATATTTGATTTAATTAGAAAAAAACAATTTCTATTTTGTTCTTGGCTACTATATTTATATAGCTGAAAAGGAGCTGTTCAAGGCAGAAGCTGAACAAAAAGACTTTCCTATTGCTGTTATGCAACTGGTCACGAGAGAAAATACTGAACAAAGTGTTCGGTTTGCAGCGTCATTACTTTTTAAGAACTATATAAGAAGAAACTGGGCGCAAGTAAGTTTTATTACACTCGACGCGTTTTTTAGGCAGGATTAAAAATTCTTTATGCGATAATGCTTTATTTTTATATTTTCTTTTAATATTGTTTATTCCATTTCGACTAGGAAGACGAGATAAAACTTACTTCAGAAATAAGAACAGTAATAAAAGAAAGTCTAGTAGATATTCTGATATCTGTACCGTCGAATATACAAATTCAACTAAGTGAAGCTGTGACTTTAATTGCTGAAAACGATTTCCCCAAACAATGGCCAACTTTGATTACGGTACGTTATGAAGAATCGCAATTTTTTATAAAATGAGGCAATTAGATTAAATAACTTATTGATTTGTACAGCAACTAACTAGTAAATTTAGCCCAGAGGACTTTGTCAGAAATAACTCTGTTCTACAAACTGCTCATTCGATATTCAAAAGGTAATTTAATAAATAATTCAAATGTTAACTGACATGGATTATTAAAAAATTCATTTTTATAATTTAGATATAAATCTGAATTTCGAACAGATCCTTTGTATAATGAAATCAATTTTGTCCTGGATCAATTTGTTCAACCTTATTGGCAACTTTTACAGGTATATTTTTTTTGATTAATTTTGCGATGATAATCATAGAAAAAAATACTTATCATTTAATTTTAGGCTACCGATATATTGATCACGCAAAATGTCAACAATAAGCCACAACTTCAAATTCTTTCACAAACTTTGCTTCTCTTATTGAAATTATTTTATGATCTTAATTGGCAAGATCTTCCTCCATTTTTCGAGGATAATGCGGAAGAATGCATGTCATTTTTACATAAATATTTAATTTATAGTAATCCTCTTTTGAATTCCACGGTAATCGTTATTAATTTCTAAGTTATCATATTCAAGATTATTAATACATTGGTTCTAACTCCATGAATTGCGTTTTAAAGAATGATGAAGAAGCTGGTTCATTGGAAAAAGTGAAAGCTATTACATGTGAAATTTGCGCTTTATATGCCACAAAATATGAAGAAGTATTTACAATGTTGCCAACGTTTGTGGAAACTGTGTGGACACTCTTAACAACCACAGGTTTGGAATCGAAGTATGACATTGTGAGTAAAAATATATATGAATTTTGTACATCATAAAATATTAGAGAGATATATATGATGTATAATATTATAACTTATTCAATTATAATAGCTTGTCAGCAAAGCTATGGCATTTTTATCTAAAGTTGTCAAGCTGGAACGCTATAGTGGTCTATTTGCGAAGCGTGATGTTCTCACCCAATTTTGCGAAAAGATTATTTTACCAAACATGTATTTTAGACGTAAGTTTATCCCGATCATCCCATGATTATTAATCGACTTTTATCTAGGATTTATAAGAACTTTTTTTTTTGGCTATAGCTATTGATGAAGAATTATTTGATTACGATCCTATTGAATTTATTAGAAGAGATTTGGAGGGTTCAGGTAATTAAAACTAAAGTAGAATAACTTGTGAATCAATCACGCGACCAACAATTTTATTTTAGACAGTGATACTCGAAGACGAGCTGCGTCAGATTTTGTCCGCAGTTTGATGACATATTTCCAAAAAGACATAACGAATATCATTTGGACATATATTAATAAATACCTACAGGTTAGTTTCTTTATCATAAATTTTACAGAAATTATAAATTCTAACGTTTTCTATTTAATTGTATCATAGCGTTATACCGAAGATCAACGTAATTGGAAAGATAAAGATGCAGCAATATATTTATTAACTTCAATAGCTGCCCCCGGATCTACAACAAAAGTAGGTGATCATTGAATCCGTACAAGATTGAAGATCATTTTAAGCAGAAGTAATCTTTGTGTTAGTTTTTGCAAAGCTTGTTTAGAGTGATTTACAAGTATATAAAGAAAATAGGTTTTGACTCATCGCTGATTTTTGACAGCATGGTATCACAGCGGTTAATGAAGATGTTGACGTAGTTGGGTTTTTCTCGGAAAATGTATTAGAAGACTTACAAACAGCGGTTGTCAGTGGTCAACCAGTGTTAAAAGTTGATGCTATAAAATATGTATATACTTTCCGTAATCAGGTAAAATGAATTTATGGTGAATTCATTTTTCATCAAGCTTTATTAGATGGATTCATTTCTATTAAATTGTTTAATTCAATGTATAGATGACTAGGCAGCAATTAATTTCTGTGTTTCCATTGTTGGTCAAACATTTGTCATCTTCCAACTATGTTGTTCATACATATTCTGCAATTTCAATTGAGCGACTTTTATTCATGCGTAAAGATAATGTTATGTTGTATGTATTAAGCTTTTTCATTTTTATATTATTAACTGTTTTTTTACTAATAAATTTATAATTATTTTAGATTTTCTAAGACTGATATCAAGCCATATACGCAAGATTTACTTATTAATTTGTTTAGGTTGATTGAGGCTGGTACTACTCCTGAAACATTGGCCGAGAATGATTATCTTATGAAAGGTATATATATTTATTTACTAAATTTGATTGGCGAAGTTTTCTAATCAATGATTGTATGTTTAATTGCGGACTATAGCTGTTATGCGTGTCATTTTTACTTGTCGTGATGATATGTCACAGTATGTTACAGAAATTATGGGTCATTTGAATAAGATCTTAGTTGAAATTAGCAGGAATCCGAGTAATCCACGCTTTAATCATTATGTTTTTGAATCATTTGGTGCTTTGGTGAGGTGGGTAATAATATCAAGGATTTTTCTATGGCAATCCTTTTATGTTAAGTAATTGACGCATTTCATATTTCTAGATTTAATTGTCAAAACAATCCTGATGCATTGACAACTTTCGAAAATATGTTATTCGGCCCATTCCAGATGATTCTGCAGCAAGATGTAGTTGGTTTGTACTAAATAAGGTTTATTTTTTTTTATTTGTTTTTTAGATTTGATAATGACTTTCTTTTCTCTCATAGAATTTGTACCATATGTCTTCCAGATTTTTTCACAACTCCTTGAATATCATACGGAACCTGTGTTCCCAGAAACATATAGATCTATGTTACCAGCTTTATTGACTCCTGCTATTTGGGAGAATGCCGGTAAGACATTTTAAGTTTCTTTTAAAGATTTGTTTTTTTTTTTTTTTTTTTTTGGCTAATTATAAGATAAAACGTATCCTTAGGTAATATCCCCGCATTGATTAGACTACTTCATGCATATATTTATCGCGACTCGAGCTCAATAGTCGCAAATAATCAGCTAGAACCTATTCTTGGTATCTTTCAAAAACTGATAGCTTCGAAAGCGAATGATAAATATGGAATCGATTTATTGTGTTCTATTGTCCAATATATACCTACGTAAGTATTTATTATTGATTTATTATTATTATTAAACAACTGATTATTAAATTAATATTATAACCTCAATTCAGGGAAACACTTAATAAATATTTAACGGCAATCATAACACTTTTGTTAACAAGAATGCATCATAGTAGAACAGACAGATACACGCTAAGTTTTGTGTATTTCATGTGCTTCTTCCTTGCAATAGAAAAGGAAGACGTTAATCCAGATTACGTCATCAATGTTTTTGATTCTATACAAAGAAAGTAATGAACCTTTTATTTGATTCATAATATTCGTTAGCTTTTAAAGATATTATAATTTATATAAATCTTTTTCTTAGATTATTCATCGAGGTCTTAAATGCATTTATCATTCCTGAAATGCAAAAAATTCAAGACTACACGGAAAAAAAGATTTGCGCAATAGCTATGACACGTCTCTTGACTCAGAGTGAAAAAATATTAATGGATGACTACATCTCAGTATGGTAATGACTTAACATGATTTAATATTTTTATTAATTTTTTTATAATAATTATTCAAACATATTTTTTACATAAAAAGGCCCAATGTTTTAACAGCATTGATTAAGTTATTTGAAGCTCCAACTGAAATTAAAAAAAGTTATGATGAAGAAGAAGAATTATTAACTTATGATTTTGAAGAAGAAAGACAATTTCAAAGTGCTTTTGCTAGATTAACGTCTACGGGAAAATTAAACCGTGATCCAACTGAAAAAATCGAAGATCCCAAACTTTTTCTTGCCCATTCACTTCAAGCATTGAGCCAGAGGTATCCTGGGAAGGTGATAATAATTTTATAAGATTACATTATTTTTTTAAACAACTTTTACAAATTTTATTCTTGACTCTAGATCAACGAGATGATATCATCGAAACTTCAACCAGAATGTACAAATCATTTGGTTCAATACATGAATTTAGCGAATCCAGCGAATCCAGGTGGCGTTGAATAATAAAACTTGAAAAGTTGTATTATTGCTGTACTTTATTGTAGGTTGGCAACCTTTTTCAATCATTAAGTGTTTAAAATATTATTTACATATTTAAAAGTTGGGTCGTTCAATCCTTATTTAGTTGAATAATTAATTATTATTTTTATTTTTTAAATATGACGCCATTTTAATGACACTTATTAGATGTTACATTATTCTCATTATATTTGTCGGTAAGTCCTATTCAATATATTATCCACCGTTGTGGATATATCATGATATAAGATCATACATATTCTATTAGATCTTATTTAGGTGATTTAGGATTAAGTAAAACTGCTACTGAAATAAAATAAAAGTTTCTATTTTCCTTTAGAATTATTTTATTATATATGATAAACATAATGACTTGATTACGTGGTGTTATTTAAATATTGATTCAGTTCAGTTATAATTAATTGAATTTATACTAGTATTTATAAAATGTTGATTTTGGTCGCAAAGTACAATACATTTGCTAATTGGCAATCGAAAAGTTTATTATAAAATGATACTATAGTTTATTTATTTAAATGTAGTGCTAATCATCATTATGAAATGGACAAAATTTTGATTATTTATTAACGCAAGCACAATACGATATTTTACTTAAAAAAGTTCATTATCATTCTCTTTCTCGTCAATTAAACTAAATTCTTTTAAAAAAAAATGGAAAACCATTTTAAGAACACAAATTTTATTTTTAGGCAAATTATAATTTTGAAAATCTACTGGAAGAAGATCTTATCAAACTTATTAATTGCTTTACTCAATAAAAAAATCAATTATATACTAAACTATATTTCAGGATATAGTAACTTTTAATAGTGAGATTTTGAGGATGGACCAACTGAAATTAAACCTAATGGTCAAGAAGAAAGGAAATCAGTTATTGAAAAAAGCAACAATTTTTTTCTTAATTTTTTTTTGAAAATATGGATGAAAGTATAATAAAAAAGATATCTTTGTCAACAACTACAGATACTAAATGATTTTTAAACTTAACAGCAAGGATTAAAAAACATTTAAAAATTACAGCTGATATAATTTTAATTAATTCTATTTCACATAATTGGATTGATATTGTGAAAAGTGAAAAATAATAAATTATCTAACTATTTGCTACAAAGAGATTTTTTGAATATTTATTAATTAACCTTTTTAGAAAAATAATGATAAGCCTAAAATAAAAATTATAAAAGTTTTTTATCTTTAAACTTCTATAATCTTATAATTCGATAACCAAAAATTTAATATTTCATAATTATTATTGAGTAAATTTATTCATTGCAGGAGGCAATACTCCTGATACATCACCTTTATATATATATCTCTTACTCTAAACTCTAAACTATGTGATACAAACATATGTAACAAATAGGATTTCATACATGAAAAAATTTCTAAGTTCCCAGAATATATATGAAAAATGAAAAAGGGAGGGATATAACACAGGTAACAAAAGGAAGTGATGATATCACGCCTGCAATGAATAAATTTACTCTTATTATTTTATACTTTATTAAATCCTAGTAACTTGTTTTTATTATCAATATAACAAAATAATATAAGTATGATATCAGAAATCTTAACAATGTTTCAAAATTTTTTGTGGATTTTATTTCACATAATTAGTAATTAACTAATAAAAACAAATATTAATCATATATCATTTTAAAATTATAATAATTTGGGCTGACAATATGTTTAATTATCATAATATTAGCTCAAATTATCATAAATTTTAATCAGAATGATCATATAAAAATTATTTATTCAATTTTAAATTTTTATAACTTTTTATATAGAATTTTTTTGAAAAACTGACTCATAATTTAGTAAAGCTTATCTATATCAAAGAATAAAATTAACAGTTTATTTTTCTAAATTTTATTTTTTTAAAGAATTGAAAGATTTTAAATGTTACATTATATTGTTGAATATAGATTTCCTATACTATATAAAAATTCTAATATACAGTCACACCTTGATATAATAAAGTTGCCGATCTAGCTGATCAGGACTTCATTATAAGAATCTTCATTAATGCTATAATGAATTATTCATTATAGTAGATGATTACTGATTTCATTATACAAATATAATTTTACTATGATATAAGTTTTCCAGAAATATTTTCACGTTATTTTGTAAATTTTAGTCATTTTATTTTAATATGCAATCTGTTAATCATTAAATGACAGTTTTATTAATTTACTTAATTTTTTTTTTAAAAAAAAATAAAAATAAAATAAAAAATAAAATAAAATAAAATAAAATAAAAAATAAAAATCAAATAAGATGAAAAAATGAAATTAAGAAATTGAAATAAAATTATAAAATGAAATTAAGTGAATGAGACAAGACGAAAAAATGAAATTAAATAAATGAAAAGAAATTATAAAATAAAATTAGAAAAATGAAATGAAATGAAAAAATAAAAAAGAAAAAATGAAATTAAACGTACGATACTAAAAGAAAAAAGAATGATATGAAAAAAAATGAAATTAAACGAACAATAAGAAAAAAAAACCAAAATTTTTATTGTCTTGTAGGCTTTGCAAGCATATCACAATTTCGTCATCTATTTTGATTTTGCCTCGCAGGATTATTACAGTTCTACTTTATATTACGTATTTGCCTTGTAGTAGGCAAATTACAATTTCTCCTACAAGTGTGCTTCGATTCTAAAAAAGTAAATATATTTAATATAAATCTAAAAAATCATTTAAACATTTTTAATTATTACCTAGCCTATTTCAAAATTGAGTCCTAAAGAGATTATATAATCTTTTCATAATATAGATTCACCTCCTACCTCTTCTCGCTCTATTTTGATAATTGCAAAAATCTTAAAAGATATTAATTATACTGTTAAGTTATATTTATCATTATATTATTATTCATTTATTTACTTATGTTGTAATCCTGTACTAAATTCCTCCATTTTAACTCGCATTGGTGAGTTAAATATGCTGTATTAAATCTTTGATTGATTTGTCGAGCTATATTCCTTCAGAATCTCGTCTTATTGCCTCTGTACCTTACATGATATTCTTCATTTCTCCTCTTTCTTTTCTCAACTAATAAGTTGATTTTATTATCCTCCTAAATGATTCTTATAGTCATTTTTGTATTTGTAAAAAAATATGATTTAATAGAGTAAATTAAAGTGATTTAAAGGTTGATTTAAATTTACAAAAGATGAAAAATTATACAATAGTAAAAAATACTTTCCTTTATAAATAAATTTATCTATTGATTTGATATTTTGTGAAATTCTTTACTCATGATTGAAATAATACAATCTTGATTGAAATTCTGATTTGTATTAAAACAAAAAGTCAA